AAAAAAAAAAAAAAAAAAGATGTGGAATAGGGATTAATGTTTCCATACCACAGCAACTTCCTGGTCTCTCATAAAGTGCTCCTCTAACTAAACTATGCTAAGTCACTCTCTACAAGCATATGAGTAACACTAGCTTTAATATGGAAGCTTTGCATATATAAGAGATCTTGGACATACACTAATCCCCTCATCAATGTGTATACCTTATATGATAACTGGATGGTATGGCAGTAAGTAGATGGACAGTTCTACAACATACCTCTTACATGGCTATAATTGAAACTGTGACGTCTATTATGGCATTGTTTTCTCGTTTTCTACTTAAAGGAAAGCTGAGTAAACAGTGGTCAGCTACCTGACATTGGAGTACATGGTGTTGTGACAATTTTATAATCATCACAAAGCTATGCTTACTTACACAGTGGCTTTTCATTAAATGTTCAGGGTACATTAACATTTCTTTAAATATACATATGTATCAGCTTGCATGTGAAAATTACCTTCCATTTCTTCTAGAGCTCTGACAATGTTCTTCAATATTATCGTCTTCCCATTTGAACCCTAAAACACAGTATGAGAAAATGTAGTGACACATTACTGGAAATTAGGCACACTTGAAATTACTATCTTGCATGAATCTTAGTATCATGCCTGATTTATTCACGACTGTTCCCCTTTCATATTCAAAATCACAGAAGAGCACCAATCTCCAAGAAAAGCTTATCCCCTTAAGTTAAAAATTGACAGAAAGCTCACATTCTTACCTATAGAAATGAGGTTCCAATAGGTTTCCAGCATCACATTTTTGTAGAGACTCTTCTGGGAAGGATCCAGCAAAGCCCACTCTTCAGGAGTGAAGTTCACATGCACATCCTCATAGGTCACCGCATCCTAAAATGTCCCATATATGTTTGTAATTGAAATGAGATTGACTGAATTATAAATATACATTTCATTGAGAATATATTTATACAATTCTGTGTGTTCAAAATATTCTGTGACATGGGTCAATAAATATCAAATACAGTCACCAACTCATTTTAAAAGGAAACATCAAAAGAGAATGACCCTTCCATTCCAGTGTCAACAGAATAGAATACGGCACAGAAAGAGAGATGCCTAGGAATTTATGCAGAGAGACATGCAACCTGAGTAACACTATTTAGTATACATCAGCAGAATTTTATCAAAATTATTAACTTCAAGAAAGGATAGAAAACATAGGTGTGGTGGTGGACACCTCCAATCTCAAACCTCAGGAGGCAAAGTAGATGAAACTCTGTGATTTCCAAGCCTGGTTTATGTAGAAATTGCCAGGACAGCCAAAGGTACATAGTAAGACCCTGTCTCAAACAAAAATTCCTCCACAGAGTTAAACATTCACTTCAGTTCTATTCTTGTCTATCATAACCTGGAGTGACCCCTATTGAACTGTAAGACTAATAATTCCCAGGAAGGAAAGCATTTTTAAGAAGTTACTAACTGACAGATCAATGAATTCTCAAGAACATTAGTAAAGTGAATGCTGACCCTAAATCCGGAAAACAAACAACCAAAGGGATGGAGTATATGAAGATGGGTCAACAGATAAGATCACCTGTTGCTTTTGAAGAGGTCCTAGCTCAGTTCCCAACACTCAGTGGATGTTAGTAACTATTCCTAACTCCAGCTCAAAATAGAATACTCTCTTCTGCCTTCAGCAAATAACAGGAAGACAAGTGGTACATATCTATTTGTCTATCTGTCTGTCTGTCTGTCTGTCTATCTAGGCAAAAATTTCAGCCATTGAAAACAATTTATTTTTTTTTTTTTTTTTTTTTTTTTTTTTTTGGTTTTTCGAGACAGGGTTTCTCTGTGTAGCTTTGCGCCTTTCCTGGAGCTCACTTGGTAGCCCAGGCTGGCCTCGAACTCACAGAGATCCGCCTGGCTCTGCCTCCCGAGTGCTGGGATTAAAGGCGTGCGCCACCACCGCCCGGCCATTGAAAACAATTTAAAAATGTAAAAACATACACAAAGGTAGGGACAATATTACACACCTGCAATTCAGTGATTCAGGAGATCACTATTAATTTCTTGAATGTATACATTCTTGCTCTGAAAAATGACAAACCTGCCAAAGTTCAAAAGTCATGATGTGGGTTGTTAAGCACAAGAGCAAATGCTACATGTACAAAAACCAGATTCCATCCACCAAAAATATAAACATAACAATATCAGGCAAGAAATATGGATTAGGGAGGAAAAGTAATTGCTTCTACTTTACTTTATATTATTTAGGAATGGAATCTCTACTGTTGGTGATGGCATGCCTCCATGAGAAGGAAGGGGGCTACTCACTTTCAACAAAACAAAGAAATGTGGTGAGACTATATTCCTCCAGAAAGGCTCCTTCGCATAAGGGTTTTGTAAGTCACCAATGAAGGCCCACACCAAAGACAATGCTCAAACTCAGTATACTACCTGGAAGATTTTTCATTCAACCCTCAACATTTTGACACAGGTCATGACAGGCTCATAGTCAAACCATGATGCAAAATGCATTTAGTCTGATTTCAAAGATCCCCATATTATGTGATAGTCCCAACACTATTTGAATGACAACAGATTCTTCTGACACAGAAGACAATCTTTGACTATGACCTCATGTAATATCAAAATAGGGATCATATCAACCCAAACCACAATGGCACAGAATATACATTTTCCTTTCAACGAATTAAGGATAGATTAGACCAGGCCAAGTGTAAAACTATGCAGGACAAACACCAACACTTGCAGCTGTGTCAGGCACCCAGGGCTTCAGTTTCAAAAGGTTTATACAGCTCTTTCTCTCTGCAACTTCTCATACATCTCTCTCTTTGGCTACTTCCACTTCCTTCATGCAGCTATTCATGGCACGTGTCTCAAAGACTGGGTAGCTCAACATATTGTTACCTCAAAATGAAACTGAAGCTTTATCTCACATCTTTATGAAAGGAAGTCTCACAGTCTCTTCACTGGGCCCCATGAATGCTAGACCCAACACTAAGGCTGCAGGTTATTATATTTAAAACAGGGTATCCTGTAACCCCAGGTGACCTTTACTGCCATTTGTAATCTAGATAGCCATGAACTTGGTATTTCTGCCTTAACTTCCAAATGCTAGGTTTATAGATATAACCCAACACTCCGGGCTTTATGGCTGGAGTTTTTAAAGTGGTGAGAGCAGGGCTTCCTCCTTCAGTGACACACAGGAAATAAGGGAAAATGAGGTGAAATGCCCTGAGGTGATAACAGACTTGAGAATCTAAAGCACTGAAGCATGGTTACAGCAGTGTCAACAGAGAACTAGGGAAAACAGTGGACTTGGGGGGACTTGATTTTACATGGAACTTTACTGTCAGGACTTCGGTTTTGAGAATAAATAATGTGTATAGCAACACGACCTACTTTGTTGTTCAGATCTCTGGCATTTTACTGATATCTAACTGGTTAAAGAGCTTTTCCAGAGAATTCAGGTTTGATTCCTTATAACCCCATGGAGACTCAATAACCAGTAACTCCAATTCCAGAGGATTCAATGCTGTCTTCTGGCATTCTCAGACTATACACATTCATATGGTACATAAATATACATACAGCCAAAACACCCATATGCATACCATAAAATAATTTAAATAAAAATGAAATAAAAGATCTGACTGCTGACTTATAACATAAATGGTTGGAGAACTAGAGATTTTGGGGATGAGTAGAATCAGATCACTTACAGCCATTGCATGGCTCAGTAGTTACCAGCACTTGATGTTCCTCCAAAGGGCCTGGGTTTGTTTCCCAGCATGCACATGGTGGCTCAGGACCACCTCTAACTCCAGCTCAAGGTAATCGGACTCTTTTCTGGTCTACATGGCACCAGGAAAACACTCTGTACACAGGCATATATGGAGAAAAAAACATTCATATATAGTAAAATGATAATTAAAATCCTATTAAAAAGAAAAAGATTACAGGATCTCAGGATGTAGCTCAGGTGGAAGCATAGTGTCCAGAATGCATGAATCCCTGAGTTTAATTCCTATTTTATGAAGGGGACAAGGATAGTGTGATGCTTAAAAAGAAAATGTCCCCTAAAGGGAGCAGCATTATAAGGAGGTTAGCACTGCTGGACTGGTGTGGCATTGTTGGAGGAAGTGTGTCACTGTGGAGGTGTGCTTTGAGGTATCATGTACGCTCAAAACACCACCAAGTGTCTCAGACCACTTCCTGTTTCCTACAAGATGTAGGACTCTCAGCTACTTTTCACCACAATGCTGCCTACATGCTGCCATGCCCCACCATGATAATAACAGAATAAACCTCTGACCTGTGAGTGAGCAACCCCAATCGAATGTTCTCTTTATAAGACTTGTCGTGGTCATGGTGTCTCTTCACAGCAATAGAAATCCTAACTAAGACAGATTGGGATCTGTCATCCCAGCACTTGATAGTGGAGGTAGAAAGATAAGAAGTTCAAGGTCATTCGTGGGTAAACAGAGAGCTTTTGGGCAACCTGTGCTATGAAGCCCTGCCTCAAGAAACAAGAACAGAAAAATAATCACACAAGAACATCCTAGGAGAAAGAAAAGCAAAGCATTTGGGATATATATCACAAAAGAGTTACAAAAGGCCACAAGTCTGGAATAGGTATTGATTTCCTTCATAGTCAAAAGAACTGTCATCTAGGGCTTGTGAACTGACCTCTGTCTTCAGGAAACTCCATATGCACGTTAACATAGCCATTTTCCAGCTCTGTAAACTTTAAGTACGACTACAATATAGCTTCACTTTCTGGGTGTTATTACCAGCAGAACACATATACACACATATCTTAGAGTAAGAAGACTTTCAGAATGCCCCAGCAATGGCTGTACCTAATGGAATCAGGAATTTACTGGCCACAAGCAAGAGTCTACAATCCTTCCTTGTCAAGTTATATCCATGTCATTCTGTATATAAATATGTATGGCTCTAAAAATAAAATATTGAGTATTAGGCTAACAACTAGAGCCTGCAGAACAGAGCTCTCACTAAATTAAGCCTTTAGTGAGAGGTCTTTATCACATAGGCATGGACACCTGACACCAGTATCTCACAAACTAGGAGGTAGAAACAAGAGAATTTGAAGTTCATGGCCAGTATTAGCCCAGTGAAATCCTATCTCAAAAAAGTATCTCTAAGGGACACACAAAGGTCCCAATTGATTAAAATCAGCTCTAGGAGAAATGGAGAAATAGTGTCTAGTAAAAGCACTTCATTTTCATTCTAGGAATTATCTATTTAATAATACCTATTCATACCTTGAGTTATGCAACAACACTATTTGGATCAGATTAGTCTTCAACTTTCTCCAACTTCCTCCAAACCACTAGGATGACAGGTGTGAGCCTTCATGTTCAGCTAAATAAATGTACTGATTAAATCAAAGAATAATAGAGAGATATATGGCAAGTTTGGAAGAAGAGCAAAAAGAAAGTGAAAGTGACAGGCTAGTTTTAAAACCTTTGAACTCTTGCCAAGGGGGAAATCTAACCATGTAAGCAGCATCACCACTTGTTCTGCTATTGGCCTAGGAAAACTTTGCCTTTTATTTCTAAATGATGACCTATAGAATTTGCACAGCATATGTCCTGGAGAGATCTTGTCCTATATGAGGAGATTGTTTTGTGTATTTGGAAAAAAGGTCTCATTCTGTGCTCTGGTATGGCCAAAAGGTAGTGGTGTCCTGCCTCAGCTTTTCAAGTCCTGGAAATACAGTTGTAAATCACCATGACTGGCTGAAGAAAATTCTGTATAAAAGCTGACATAGTAGCATATTATTTGCCTATCACATGTGAAGTATGTGGTTTGATCCCTAGATCACAGGGGAAAAAAAACTAATGTAGCTTCATTGTTCATCTAATATTCCCATAAGTATATATAATGCATCTAAGGCTCTTCTAACAAAAATCAATCAAAAGAGATGAGGAAGGACACTACATGTTTACCATTGGTAAAATCTGCCATGATGATTTAATTTCTAACATGCATTCCTAAAACACAAGGGCAACTTCATTTGTAAAACAAATACTACTACAGCTTAAATCAAATATTGACTCACACACTAATAGTGGGAGATGTCAGTACCTCACTCTCACTCATGCATAGGCCATCCAGAAAAAAGCTAAACAAAGAACTAGCAAAGCTACCAGACATCATAAACCAAATGGATCTAAATGATATTTATAGAATATTTCACCCAAACACAAAAGAATACACCTTTACATCAGCACCGTAATAGGGACTCAGACCTTAACACAACTGACTCCATGATGGAAGTGCCATTCAGAATGTAAAACTCAGCACATAAACAGCACCACATGCCAAAAATAAAAACAAAGGCCTAATTCATCAAAGTCCATAGTTATAGGAAAGTCTCTAAATGTATGAACCTTGCTTTTTACCTCCTACAGTTCCATTTCAGTCTAACTGTTCTTGTTAACTGATGTAAACATAAAACATGGTTTTTGTGCTTAAAAGCTCATCCTAAAAAAGGCTCAGGGCTACAATGGGATCCAGAACAACCAGTGTAGTTCGAGGCTAGCTAATAAAGACATTGTATTTGCTTAAATCTCTGCCTGAGAAGTCTTCTTTGGTGAATACTCACATTTCTGGAGATCCCACAGAGTTGCCAGAGACCAGACTGAAGGATAGATAACAGGGGTTTCAGAGCCCCTTGGAGGAAAGATGTGTGCAGTAGTCAGGTGACTGCTAGGGGGGTACATAAACTGAGATATTCCAGGTCCACAGGTGTCTTTGTTAGGATTTTATTGCTGTGAGATACCACAACCATGTCAACTCTCATAAAGGAAAACATTTCATTGGAACTGCCTTGCAGTTCATAGATTTAGTCCATTATCATCATGGCAAGAAGCATGCTGGTATACAAGCAGATAGGGTGATGGAGAAGTAGCATAGACTTCTTCATCTTGATCCACACGCAGCAGCAGGACACTGAGCCACACAGATCTCAAAGCCCACTTCCACAGTGACTCACTTCCTCCGCCAAGGCCACATCTATTCCAGCAAGGTCATACCTCCTAATAGTGCCAGTTCCTATGGGCCAAAAAATTCAAACACACAGGCTTGTAGCCATACCATAATGTAGAAATGTATTCACTTCAACTTCAAAAGTCCCTAAAGTCATAATAGTCTCAAACTTGTTTAAAAGTCCAAAGTTCAAAGTCTCTTCTGAGATTCATATATTCTCTTAACTGTAATCCCCTGTAAAACCAAAATCAAAAAGTAGATCACATACTTCTAACATACAATGGCACAGCATATATGCTACCATCCCAAAATAGAGGAAAAAGCATACTAAGGAAACAACGGACCAAGGCACCTCTGAAACATGCCTGGCCTCAGCAGCTTTCCTTAGAAATGGAGGGAGATTCCATAAACCCTTTCTTCTAACTTTGATTCTAAAGCCAGAACCATGTGGCTGAAGCTTGTATTGTTGTACTTGACTACTGCTTACATTAAGTGTTGGGCCCTGTGAGGAAGGGGGGGGTGGGGTGGCCATCTAAGCTGAATGCACACGAAGTTGAGGGAAATAGGCTCTCCTGGTGAACATTTCCTTCACTTTGTGCCTGCTCTAAGCAGTTCCAGAGAAAGAGAAGAGTTCTCTTGGGCTGAGTCATAAGGAAAACAAAATTCCACTTCTTTCATAATTTGTCTCTTTTTCAACCAGTGATCTGAAAAACCCACACTTCTCTTTGCAAAACGTAAAAATACTGCCCCTGGGCTGGGCTAGGGAATTGCTGCCAGGAAATGAAACCTGGAAAGAACAGATATTCCCTTCTGTTCCTATGGGCCTGTACCCTAACACTGACCAAGGGTACTTTAAGGAATTTCACTAAGTACTTTTTAGAAAGATTAAAGATAGTAGCTAAAAAGATTTCTTTGTCACCCAGTCACCCATGGTATTAGAAAAACGTTTTAAAAAAATTAAAGGTAAACTAGGTCCCAGTTGCTGGAGGTAGTTAAAAAGGTGTTTGTTAACAAGAAAAAAAAAAAAAAACTGATTGGGACAAGAACTTCTGCACAAACTGAAAGCCACCTCTCTGATAATGAGACTTACAAATACACAGCAAAATTTTGGTATCTTACCCTCTGTCAGGAGAATATATGAAAATTATGCCTCCAATCAAAAGATAAATAACACCAAATGGAAAAAAGGGGGAAATGAAGCTCACATGCCTGGCTTGATGAGACCGGCATCCTGATGCCCTGCCAGTCACCCTGGAATATGCCTCTCCTGCCTATGAAGAAACCCGGGACCTCTAATTCTCATGAGTCTGGTTCTTCCAGAGAAACAGGTGTGCACTATCCAGACGTGAAAGATGCATTCTTCAGCCTCCCATTGGCAGTGATGAGTCAACCACCTTTGCTTTTAAAGGGACAGACCCAGTGGGGGGTTACAGTAGGCAACTAACCTGGACCAGGTTGCCCCAGGAGTCAAAGACATTAAATGTAGAGTTCCTGCCCTTCCTTCACAGGTTTCCTGAAAAAACAGATTATAAAAGAACCACTGAGTTTATAAATTATAAAATGACCCTGGAAGTTTATAGACTTTTGCCTATAAACTATTGGCTAAGAAAGCCCAACTTTGTGGAAGCCTACCTATCTTGGCTACCAGCTGAAGGGAGACAAAAGGAGCTGTCTCAGAGTAGGATTGCTGCCATCCTTCATATCCCAACTCCAAAAACTAAGAGATGAGTTTAAGAGTTTCTAAGTGCAGCTGGGTATTGCTGTCTCTGGATACTAATGTCTCTGGAAATGGCAATGAAAATATACAACAGCACGAATGGGGCCCTGAGCCCGTAATGTGGACTGAGACTGAACAAAAGCCATTTAAGGCTTTAAAAACAGCTATGATTTCCACTCTAGCCGTAGAATTTCCAGATATCACAAAAACTTTTCACCTGTTTGTCCACAGAACACAAAATGAAAGGGTTTTTAAGCCAAATTTTGGGGCCATGTTAATGTCCTGTGATATACCTGTCCAAATGATAGGACTCTGTAGCCACAGGTTGCCCCATCTGTCTAAGAGCAATGGCACTAGTTTAAAGAAAGAAAACAATTTAACTTTTCAAGATCTAATACTCACAGTATACCACGACATGGTTGAGGCTACTCTCTTGTATGATGGCGCAGGTGATTGTCCATGACTGTCAAGAGATGAAAGATGAAACCAAGTACATGGGAGCTGTAGCAGTTCCATTAACTGAAAAAATATGGACCCATACCAGGTACCACAGCACACTGAGAGAAACTGATTAATCTGATCTAGGGACTCAGGTGGAGAAAAGGAAAGTCCTCCACCATACACATGGACAGTCACTAAGCTTTTTTTTGTCAGGCATGTCCACATTATGATCTGCAGAGAAAGAGAGCTTCTCACCAATAGGGAAAAGGATATTAAAATACCTTGGCCCTCCTAGAGGGCCATTTGGCTTCCCCTACAAATTGTTGTACTCCACTGCTGGGCTTCTGACCTCGCAGCCCACCAAACCGGAGAGCCCATGGATATTCGGTGTAAAACCAGTGGGAACTATTGATATTCTGGAACCATAGGGCTTACTGATAATCTGGCTAAAACCAGGGAAGCCAAATGATATTCTGATGGCATACCATGACCTTGAAACTTGGTGGTTAAAAGGAAAAACAAATGGACAGTTTGAAACCACAGGATGATGGAAGACACCCAAGGGAAGATTTATTCTCCCAAAAACAACTGATGGGACTGTTGGTAACTAACCTTCACCAGACTACTCATGTGGTGTTCACAAAACTTTCAGAGTTGAAGCGGACCAAAGTCTAGTATACCTAGACTAGAATACCCTAGCAAGGGATGTCTCAGCCAGATGCCAGGTTTGTGCTCAAGTGAATCCAAAACAGAGAGCCCTTACCCAGAAAAGCATCCAAATGACAGAGCAAGACCCCCAAGAAGTCTGGGGAAAATGACTTCACCAAGATCCGCCCTGCCCAGGGAGGATAACAGTACTTGCTAGTTTTCATAGATACACCTTCCTGGTCAGCAAAAGTGTTTCCTAACCAGACTAAAACAAATCAAGTGGGAATTAAAACAACTCATATGAGAACTAAAACAACTCAAGTGGAAAATGCTCCTCCAGGAACTGGCCATACAATTTGGGTTCCACCTAGCAACGGGGGTCCAACAATGGCTTGGCTTTCATATCCTAAAATGTCTCAATTAATAGCCACAGCTTTACATATAGATTGAAAACATCATTGTGCATACAGACTCTGAAAGCCAGAAGGTCCTGGATAGACATTTTGCAGACACTAAGAGACAAAACCACCCCAGACTACTATACCCAGCAAAACTTCCAATCACCATAGATGCAGAAAATAAGATATTCCATGACAAAAACAAATTTAAACAGTATCTATCCACAAATCTAGCCCTACAGAAAGTACTAGAAGGAAAATTCCAACCCAAGGAAGTTACCACAAAAACACAGGTAATAGATAACCTCACACCAGCAAATCTCAAAGAAGAGAAACACACACACACACACACACACACACACACACACACACACACTACCACCACCACCAACAACAACAACAACAACAAAAACAAAAAATAACAAGAATTAACAGCCACTGTCATTAATATTTCTTAATATCAATGGACTCAATTCACCTATAAAAAGACACAGGCTAACAGAATTGGTATGAAAATAGGATCCATCCTTCTGCTGCATACAAGAAACATACCCCAACTTCAAAGACAAACATTACCTCAGAGTAAAGGATTGGGAAAATTTTCCAATCAAATGGACCTAAGAAACAAGTGGGTGTATCCTAGTATCTAACCTAATAGACTTCAAACTTAAATTAATCAAAAGAGATGGAGAAGAACATTTCATATTAATCACAGGAAAAATACATCAAGATGAAGTCTCAATTCTGAACATTTATGCCACAAATACAAGGGAATCCACATTTGTTAAAGAAACATTAGTAAAGCTTAAATCACACATCAAATCCCACACATTAACAGTGGGAGACTTCAACACCCCACTCTCACCAATAGGCAGGTCCGCCAGACAGAAACTTAACAGAGAAATAAGGGAATTAACAGATGTTATGAATCAAATGGACTTAACAGAAATCTATAGAACATTTCACACAAACACAAAAGAATATACCTTCTTCTCAGCACCTCATGGAACCTTCTCTAAAACTGATCACATACTCAGTCACGAAGCAAACCTGAATAGATACAAAAAAAATTGGAATAGCCTCTGTATCTTATCAGATCACCATGACCTAAAGTTAGAACTTAACAACAATGCAAATTACAGAAAGCCAACAAAATCATGGAAACTGAACAACACTCAACTGAATCATCATTGGGTCAAGAAAGAAAGAAAGAAAGAAAGAAAGAAAGAAAGAAATTAAAGACTTCCTAGAATTCAATAAAAATGAATGTCCAACAAACCCAAACTGATAGGATAATATGAAAGCAGTGCCAAGAGGAAAGTTCATAGCACTAAGTGCCTAAGAAGTTGGAGAAATCTCACACTAGTGATTTAAGAGCACACCTGAAAGCTCTAGAACAAAAAGAAACAAACTCACCCAGGAGAAAAAGATGAAAGGAAATAAATCAAATTGAGGGCTGAAATCAGTAAAATAAAATAAAGAGAGCAACACAAATAATCAGTGAAACAGAGTTGGTTCTTTGAGAAAATCAACAAGATAGACAAGCCCTTATGCAAACTAACCAAAAGGTAGAGAGAGAATATCCAAATTAACAAAATCAGAAATGAAAAGGGAGCCATAACAACAGACAATGAGGAAATACAGAGAATCATTAGGTCATACTTCAAAAACCTGTAGTCCAAAAAATTGGAAAAATCTGAAAGAAATGGACTATTTCCTGGATAGGTACCACATACCAAAATTAAATCAAGATCAGATAAACAATTTAAATAGACCTACAACCCCTAAGGAAATAGAAGCAGTCATCAAAAGTCTCCCAACTAAAAAAAAGCCCAGGGCCAAATGGTTTCAGCACAGAATTTTACCAGAATTTCAAAGAAGAGCTAATACCAATACTCCTCAAATTGTTCAACACAAGAGAAACAAAAGGAACATAGCCAAACTCTTTTTACGAGGCTACAGTTACCCTGATACCCAAACCACACAAAGATGAAACAAAGAAAGAGAATTACAGACCAATCTCCCTCACAAACATTGATGCAAAAATACTGAATAAAATACTGGCAAAGCAAATCCAAGAACACATCAAAAAAATTATCCACCATGATCAAGTAGGCTTCATCCCAGAAATGCAGGAATGTTTCAACATATTGAAAATCTGTCAATTATATCTACCATATAAACAAACTGAAAGAAAAAAAATGACACGATCATCTCATTAGATGCTGAAAAAGCCTTAAACAAAATTTAACACTCCTTCATGATAAAGGTCTTGGAGAGATCAGGAATACAAGGAACATGTCTACATAATAACGGCAATATACAGCAAGCCAGCAGTCAATATCAAATTAAATGGAGAAAACTCAAAGTGATTCCACTAAAATTAGGAACAAGACAAGGCTGCCCACTCTCTCCACATCGATTCAACATAGTACTTGAAGTTCTAGCTAGAGCAAAAAGACAACAAAAGGAGATCAAGGGGAAAAATATCAGAAAAGAAGAGGTCAAACTTTCGTTATTTGCAGATGATATGATAGTATACATAAATGACTCCAAAAATTCTACCAGGGTACTCCTACAGCTGATAACTCCTTCAGTAATGTGGCAGGATATAAGATTAACTAAAAAAAAAAAAAAATCAGTAGCCCTCCTATATAAAAAAAACGATAAATGGGCTGAGAAAGAAATCAGAGAAACATCACGCTTTACAATAGCCACAAATAACATAAAATATCGTGGAGTAACTCTAAACAACAGACCTATATGACAAGAACTTTAAGCCTTTGAAGAAAGAAATTGAAGAAGATATCAGAAAATGAAAAGATCTCCCATGCTTTTGGACAGGTGGGATCAACATAGTAAAAAATGGCAACCTTACCAAAAGCAAACTACAGATTCATTGCAACCTCCATCAAAATCCCAACACAATTCTTCACAGACCTCAAAAGAACAATACTCAACTTCATATGGAAAAACAAAAAACCCAGGATAGCCAAAACAATCTTGTTCAATAAAGGAACTTCTAGAGGCATCACCATTCCTGACTTCAAGCTCTACTATAGAGCTATAGTAATAAAAACAGCTTGGTAATGGCATAAAAAGAGATATGTGGATCACTGTAAATGAATTGAAGATCCTAACATTAATCCACACACCTAGGAAACACCAGATTTTTGACAAAGAAGCCAAAATTGTACAATGGAAAAAAGAAAGCATCTTCAACAAATGGTGCTGGCATAACTAGATGTCCACATGTAGAAGACTGCAAATAGATCCATATCTATCATCATGTACACAACTCAAGTTCAAGGAGATCAAAGACCTCAACATAAATCCAGTTACACTGAACCTGATAGAAGAGAAAGTGGGAAGCAGCCTTGAAAGCATTAGCACAGAAGACTACTTCCTAAATATAAAACAGTAGCACAGACACTGAGAGCAACAATTAATAAATGGCACCTCCTTAAACTGAGAAGCTTCTGTAAGACAAAGGACATGGTCAGTAAGACAAATGGCAGCCTACAGAATGGGAGAAGATCCTCACCACCCCCACATCTGAAAGAGGACTAATCTCCAAGATATATAAAGAACTCAAGAAACTAGAAATCAACATACCAAATAATCCAATTAAAAAACGGGCTACAGATCTAAACAGAGAATTCTCAACAGAAAAATCTCAAATGGCTGAAAGATATTTAAGAAATTGCTCAACTTCCTTAGTAATCAGGGAAATGCAAATCAAAACAAATCTGAGATACCATCTTATACTTGTTAGAATGGCTATGATCAAAAACACTGATGACAGCCTATGTTGGAGAGGATGTGGAGCAAGTGGAATACTCCTCTACTGTTGGTGGGAGTGCAAATTTGTACAGCCACTTTGGAAATCAGTATGTTGACTTCCCAGAAAATTTGGGAATCAATCTACCTCAAGATCCAGCAATACCACTCTTGGGCATATACCCCAAGGGATGATTAATCATGCTACAGGGACACTTGCTCAACTATGCTCAGAGCAGCATTATTTATAATAGGTAGAACCTGGAAACAACGAACCTAGATGGCCCTCAACCAAAGAACAGATAAAGAAAAGGTGGTACATTTACACAATTGAGTATTACTCAGCTGTAAAAAAACAATGACATCATGAAATTTGCAGGCAAATGGATAGAACTAGAAAAAAATCATCCGGAGTGAGGTAATCCAGACCCAGAAACATAAACACAGCATATACTCACTCATAAGGGGATAGTAGATGAAAAGCAAAGGATAACCAGGCTCCAATCCACAACCCCAGAGAAGCTAGGTAATAAGGAGGACCCTAAGAGAGACGCATGGAAATGGAAAGCCCTGAGAAGGGGAAATAAACATGATCTTCTGGGTAAATTGGGAGTGTGGGGGAGGGGGAGGGAGAAAAATAGGTGGTGTAAACATGAGGGCATGGTGATGGTTGACCTGGGGGAGGGATGTAGAGAGATATCGAGAGCAATGAGTTATCTTCATAGAAGGAGCAATTATGGTATTATGGAGAAACATGGTGCTAGGGAAATTCCTAGGAATCCACAAGGATGACCCCAGCTAAAACTCCAAGTAATAGTGGAGAATGGACCTGAACTATCCCTACCCTGTAATCAGATTGGTGATTATGCTAATTGTTATCATAGAACCTTCATACGGTAACTTAAGTAGATGCTAAGACCCACAGCCAAGCACTGGGCTGAGCTCCTGGAATGCAGGTGAATAGAGGGAGGAGGGATTATATGAGCAAGGGTCAAGATCATGAAGGGGAAACCCACAGAGCCTGATGCTGTGAGCAAACATAAACCATGACAGTAATACAACCTAAGAAGAAAGAGCTCTAAAGTAAAGGAGTGAAAGATATTAAGGATGACAAAGAATGAGATAGAGAAAGAGGGAAAGAGATAAAGATACAGAAGAAAGGGAAAGGGAAAGACAGAGAAGGCAAAAATGATTTCCTCCAAATAAGGAGGGCCAAATCAATCCTCTCACTGGATTAGTCTTCCTCAATAAAACCTTCCCTGCCCCATCTACAAAAATATTAAACAATTCAAGGCCTCCAAATCTAGGTTTAAGTCCATATCTTTTCTCTGTGTTCTTCAAATTATCCCGTTTCCCTCCCTACCCAATTCTCTTAGAGAACCTGGGAAACCTTGGATCAGGTCTGGTGGAAACATTGAAGGCAGTCAGTCTCTTGGTGTGCTGATGTGTGACTGCTATAGATGATGCCATCTGGAAGCTGCATTTCTAACTGAGTAGGTGTACCACACAAGGCTACAAAAGTTTTAAATTTTATTTAAATTTCATATTTTTTTTTTTCATTTTTCCCCAACAGAGTTTTTCTATGTAGCCCTGGCAGGTCTGGAACTCACACTATAGACCAGGCTGGCCTCTGCTTCCCAAGTTCTGGGTTTAAAAGCATAGACCAACACCACTGATTTGACTATTTTAACAAATTAAACCCTGAAGTCTTCAGTCCAGCAAACATGGAGAGTCACTAATCTGTCTGATCACAGCCCAGACCAGACTCAATTGGGAGAAAATGGGGCCAAGCAACATCTTGTGTTTGGGGACTGAGGAGAGAGTGAAAGATCTGGATGATAACAATAGGCTTCAACAGTTATAAGCAGTTGATGGAACTTATGGATGGACTCAACTGTCTCTGGTTGGGGTCGTGGAATTCTTTCCTCTGTTCCTTGTCTGTGTGGGCCTACCTGCCTAGGCCATAGGAATCATCTCTTCCTATATTCATGCCAACCTAATTAAAGAGTCTTTAAGAAAAGGGTATAACAGCACACCTTTAACCTAGGAGAGGTGTGGACCCCACTGGCAACTGTGCCTGATGGAGGATGGGCTGCCTGATGAAGGATGGGCTTCCTTCGCAGGGAGCTGGACTAACCTTGAATAGCAACCATGTGACTATTATGTCAATAATATTATGATAATACAGAATTTGAGCTATGGATACAACAAAATTCCAATTAAAAACTCTAACAATTTATGCTACAAACAACAGAAATGTCATGAGAAAAGATCATCATGAATGAAAAAATGATCACATGATTGAAAAAATAGTACACACTGTGACACCATCTGACGTCTAACTTTGAATGAAACTGTAATAAAGACTGTACTGAACTGGGCAGTGGTGGCAGCACACGCCTTTAAACAAAGCACTGGGGAGTTCGAGGCCAGCCTGGTCTACAGGGTGAAATCCAGGACACCCAGGGCTACACAGAGAAACCCTATGTCAGAAATAAATAAAATAAAACAAAACAAAATAAAATAAAAAACTGTACTGTCTGGAAAAGAATAAAGAGATAAACTGATCATGAGCGCAAACTTAGAAATAAAAACACAATAAATATAGAGTCAAATGTGACAGGAGGCCAGGAAACCCAGGAAGGATGGCCTTACTGACAAAAGAATGGACCACCCTGGCATCTACAAGCAAATGCGTTAATGACACAGACTTTACACCCTGCACAGAATTAACTGCAGATGGATCCCACACCTGAATGTTCAGTGCCAAGTGCAGAACTTCTAGAAGGCACTAGAGAGACCAGGGCTCTGTGAGTTAGCAAATCTGCCTTCCCTGACCACAGTAAAAAACAGCGCATGCGCAGGCCCTGCATGGTGAGGAGGATGGTTCCACACAAAGGCTCTCACACCCCCATGCTCTGTGCAGGCGCAAACCGCAGCGCTAAATCAATCACAGGTCCCGCTTCTGCAGGGACCTCAGGACACCAAAGGGAATCACTCCGGACACCGCGTCCTGACGCCATGTCCACAGCCCCGGAGACGCCACACCGGCTCCCGCGGCTTCTCCCCGTGGGGACAACGGCCCCTCACTCACCATGGTGGACTCCGCGCTGACCCGTTCTCCTCCAGACTCCAGGCAGCGGATTAGGGGAACACGGGAATCTACCTCAGAAGCTGTGACCAAACCCCATGGAGGACCGGAAGTGCCCTCCCCATTCTGACTGGCAGTCCATTTCGAGGTCCTGATTGGCTACTGAGGTCTGAGTGATCTAAACAGCTCCCTTAGGGACAGAGTGCTGTGAAGTGAGGGAACCCAGTGATTAGCATGCCTGGCTTTCCCTCCAGGCACAAAGCGGCCTCTGACCTGAGATTGGCATTGCTGCAGATCTTGGGGCTGGACTGCAAAGTCTTCCCTGAACTATTCCTGCACTCAGTAGGACTCTTTTCTGGGGCATTAGTGAGGTTTGCTAAGAAACTGAGAAAGGACAAAGGAAACCTGCCATTTTCTGGGCTAGTCATACCTCAGGCGAGCTGTGGAAAAACGTGTTATGATTTTCAGTTTCGTAAAAACAAAGTTTAATTTATGAAACTACTGACTAACATGCACTCTCTTAAACTGTTAATTCTGTTTAAAAGGCCCATCAATGTAAATACAGGATATTTACTATAGAGCCTCAATATGCTGATGAATAAATTATACATATTTTACTACCTACTTGCCATGTAAGTCTACAGATTTGTTTTCCTCTCAACTTGGCATCATTAGTGAAAATAAGTAAACCAAGCAAAGAATAATTATTTTTACATCATGCTCCAATTGTTTCATTTTCTTTGTCAGGGTCTCACTCTGCAGCCCTGGCTGGACAGGAACTCACTATGCAGACCAGGCTAGCCTAACAGTCATACAGATCAGTTTGCCTCTGCTGCAGAGTGCTAAGATTAAAGGCCTGCACCATGCCTGGTTTCTATTAAATCTGCACATTTACTAATGAAATAAACATAAGCTAGGTGTGGCATGTAATTGGACTATGAACTGAGGACACTGTTGCAGAGAGACCACTGTGAGATTTAGTCAACCCTATGTCAAAAGAGCAAATAACAAAGCACATGCAGCCTCCGCCACCCCAGCTTTTGGGACCATTAGTGTCAGCCTTTGTCCTGGAGTCCACTTGGATCTATGGCATCCTGGCCTTTGCCCCAAGTCCACTGTCCACTTTTGACACCCTGTCTGGAACCTGTGACAGTGCTGAAGCAGCAGCCAGCAGCAGTGGCAATGGCATGAAGAATCCCTGTCCAGCTGCTTTACTGCTGTGCTCCACTGCTCTGTGGAGGAATTTTATCCTGTGTCCTGCCTGCAGGCCTTCCACTGAGGATTCTTTAAAGCCACACGAACACTTGACTGGCATGTTCAGTCTGGCTCACTGTGTGATTTCTGGCTCAGTAACCTAGTTTTCCAGGGCTACTCATTTGTACCTGAACTCAGAAAATAGTAGGTAGAACACATGCTTATGCTGATTGTGGAATGTATGGGATGTTGGGGGCACAGTAGTACTTGTACATGGAGAAGTAGTAACAGAACCAGGAAGTTAATCACCCAGGGGTGTCTTCTCAATGGAGAAGATACAAATCAAATAAGTTCATTCCATCCAGAAGGCTGAGAGTAGATTTTGTTAATGACCTGATAATTATTTGCTATTTGTGAGGCAGACCTCACCCATCTTTTGCTATAGAAGCAGACCTCACCACTTTTCCCCAGAATGATTATCCCAGAGTCTTCCTTCCCCAGTCCACTAAGCATTTGTGGGAAAAGGTCACATTGTACTCTATGCCTGCTGACCTCTAAACTCTCTTGGTCAGTTATCACACTAGATTCTAGGCCTTTTAGGTATAGAAGCCACCCTCATGGTCACATGTACTTTGTAAAGGAATCCCTATGTAATCACACCTTAACCTTTATTGTGCACCTGGAAGTGGATTGATTGTTGCCTGGAAATCTTTTCCCATATTGTACTGTGTTTTAAATATACTGACATTGATCTTCCTCTCTCCAAATTCTGATCCACATTGATGAAGTCAATCTGAACTGGATATTCAGTCTCATCCTGCAGGGACCCCCAAAACTGGTGCCCTATGCAGGGAACATGACCCTTGGAGAAGTTAAGAAGAGTTTACCATAACTAAAAATAAGGGGTCCTTTCACTGGTAAGCAATTGTGACCTTAAACTGAGAGTGGGACTAAAATAAATATGGGCTCTTCTCAGTTATCTGAGAAGATGTTATACAATAGTTGTACAATAGTTGAAATACTTATTCATGTTGTACAATAGTTGTGCAACTATTGCATGTTGTACAATAATTGAAGTACTTATTCAGACCCAAGGAACAAAATATTCAGAGCTCCAAGTCTACAAATTTTAAAATGCATAGGAACCAAAGAAAGGAGAACCCATGAAAAGGAGGATAATAATGTTGCATGGACTGCACAGTGACCACTGCTGCTTGACAATTTTCTAGCATTTTGACATTGTGGATCACAGTTCTACAGCACCTTTTGGTTTTCATTTTTAATAATTCTCACTGTGTGTTATGGGAATTTCCTAATGCTTTTTCCTTTCGAAATTTTGGGTGGGCATCAGTAGAGAATGAAGATGTATACAATGTGAGCATCTTTAAACAAAATAATTTTTTGGAAAAAAATCCCTGCCACATATACCATGATAACTCTCTGCCTATTCCTACACAAGTTAACATCAAGCTGCTAGGAAAGTTAGGTGAGTAACATATGCTTGATAAATAAGATTTATTTGACAAAGAAGATTTTCTGATAAATAATGTATATTTGATAATCAAGATTTATAAATAGCTAAGGTCTTTTGATTCACAGTAATATTTATCTAGCTTTTTTGTGCTAACTTTAAGAATTAGCTATTTGGATAAACTAAGTAATATTCTATAATAGAGAGTCTGGTCCCCCCCCCCAAAAAAAAAGTCCTTTTCACAAGATCAGACATTTAAACAAAGCCGACATTTCCACAAGGGCTGGGAGAAAGTTCCTGCTTGCTATAAAGGGAGCCATTCTCCTCATCTCTGGCAAGAGGAACTAGCTGCCCTTCCATTAACACATGACCATGGTGTTTATTAACTCCTCATGGTCCATGCTAGCTCCCTCAATACCTGCTCACAAGCCCCAACCCAGCACACAAGCCCCCTTCCTCCCATTCCCAGTTACTCCTTTGTGCAATTGTAGAGTATGAAAGTGTAGCCTCCTTTAATAAAGCAGCAGCTGTTCAGATTCCCCCTCAGATCCTGTCAGCCTCCTGCCCTCATCAACTCCACACCTCCACTTTTGGACCTGAACCTCGACAGAGCTGGACTCTGGCAATAAAGTCCCTGTCGAATGGTTTTTAAAAAGTAGAGAGAGAGAATTTTCTGCTGAACACATCTTGGCCACGAAGGCTGAATGGACTCCAGAGCCTTTAGGCTTCCTGGCCAGCCATGGACCTTTGGGATTTGTCCTCTCTCAAGATCTGACTGGAACTCCGAACTCTTTCCCTGATCCTTTAGTTAATTCTTAAATGAATGCTTAATTTTCATGATAAATAAACTAATGGAGCAATTTCATAATTTTAAATGGTATCATTCGGTGTGCTTGAATAAAAAAAAAAAGACATAAAAAGAAAAGTAAAGGCCCTGAGTGCTCCTAAGTGTGATGGAGGAAGAAGTTTTTTGTAGATGTGTGGGAGAGCATAGTCAGAAGCAGGGATATCTGGGGGAGTCCAGAGTGGACAAGACCAGACTGAGCTGGGTCATGTGGAGAGAGTGGGATGGGAAGGGAAGAGATGGGAACCAGGTGGAGCAGTCAGGAGGCCAAAGATACAAGTGGGGCAGGAGACCAAAATGATAGCATTGACAGCCTCTTCTCAAAAAAGGGTGAGGGCATAAACAAAGGAGGAACAAGTATCTATTATCACACAAACATATTTAAGATTTCCAAAGGGGGCATGTTATGTGACATCCATCTGCCAGATGTTGTTAGGCAACAAGCCCCAGAAATTAACCCCTGCACATTGAAGTGGTCCTAAGGGTACAAGAGGGGCACAAGTTGCACACACCCAGGACAAAAGTTTACATTGGGAAACTGGTAATTCTGGAAGAAGTCTATGAAAATTGTATGGAGACAGATGGAACTGCTGATGAAGAGCCCTGGCTTGCTCTAGGAGATCCACAGTGGCTGTTAATATGATGGTGTCTGTAACCTCATTTCCTTGAGCCAGTATTCTGGGTAATTTGGAGTGAAATCTAATATGTGACAGGTACCAATGCTCAGTCTTCTGATTTAGGACATTTTGTATGAGCAGTATGGTGCTGGCAATGGGGGACAGTGAGTCTATGAATCGAGAAGAAGCCAGCTTGCAAATGCCTTTACAGCATACTGGTTGTCAGGAAAAAAAAAATATATTAATAGGCTCTGTCTGGCACCCCACTAAAACTTTAGGAGGGCCAATAGCTCACCCAACTGAACAGAACCAGGGTTATGGATAACATATGTAACACCTGTGGAGCCAGGACACTGGATAAGAACAATATATCTGTTTCTATTAGAATCTGAAAAGGCCAGGGTGACATGAGGCATGGGAGTGGAGCAGGGGACTGCATGGGGCTGCATCTTTATTGGAAGTGTGGGACGTTCTGCTAAGATCTTGTTTTTTGGCAAATGATTGTCAATAGTTCCTGTGAATCCTGCAACCATTTCCTAGAATGAGATAGAATCTGTCCAGAGAGACTGGGTATTCTTTAAAGAAAAGGGGAAGACAAGATTATCTGTCTCTCCTTTGTATGTTCTCCATGCCAGCATCTGTGCCTTAAGGCCGAGTTGGAAGGACTGGTAAAACTTAGAGGTGACCTTGTACAGATCAGAATGTGCTTCATGTATCCATAGAAGGGGCCCAGATTACCATAATACTCCCAAAAGTCCCCTATGTGTCCAGAGGACCATTGCTAGTAAGGGACTTTGGGAATCATGGCATTGCAGGCTGGAAGTGGTTAGAATGGCCAAAACCATGCTGGGCACCAGATGTTGCTGGGTCCTAAGGGCTCCCTCAGGAGGTGAGAAGACATAGTGCCAACAGCACAGACACTAGGAGTCAGATAAAAGGTAAACTACAGACTTGTTTACTCAGTAACAGGGAAGGCCTTATATACCCTCCTCCCAGCACCCAGGTTGTGTCT